TCTACAAGGTACTTTGTATTCCTTCACGTGCCAAAGCCCCCCAATTGCTGTTATTTCTCATCCCTGGAGGACATGAACTGGGTCTTCCAGGCTCCAAGGCCAGCTCTAGCCATTAGGCCACACTGCCTCTAGGCTAAAATGCATACTCCTTGGCCTGGTGCCATCCCACCCCAGCCTTCCTGGCCAGCACAAGTCTACTTGACCCCCGTAACCAGATGAGCCTGCTAGTCGGGGACCCTGCTATTCCCCAAATCCGGTATCCCATCACCTACTTGTGGGCGTTTGTCTGATGTCACCTCTCACTGCTAGTGGCACAGAAGCTCCTCTGTCTTCCTTCTACACTCACCCCACTTCTTGAAGCCTGTCAGCTGGAAGTCATCTGTCTCTTCCTCCTTATTCTACTTCTGTGTGTACCTGGAACATGGAGGCCCAGGCAGCTAATGGCCCTTGAGGCTGCCCAGAGAGGCCCGGGGGTCAGGACTGGGGAGGTAATTGCTCTACTCCAGCCACATCTGGAGAGCTGGGCTCAATTCTAGGACCACCATTTAGGAAGGACGTTGACTGTGCTGGAAAATACACACAGAGGGCAACCGGGAAGGCAGAGGGCCCCAAGGTGATGAAACGAAGTAATAGCTGTCAGCTGGGGGACAACTCGGGGGATGCCGGCTGTCTTCCAGCAACCAAAAGGCCGTCAAGTGGAGGAGGGACGAGCTGTGTTCAGCTTGGCCCCAGAGGACAGAACTGGGAATTCCGTCATCAATGGAAGCTACAAGAGGCCCATTTGGGCTTGTCATCAGGCAAAGCATCTCTTAGAGCCATCCCAAAGGAGGATGGGCCATCCGGAAGGCTCTCCCGGGAGGTCTTCCAGCAGGGTCTAGATACCCGCTCGTCTGGGACGCTGCAGTGGGGAATGCTTTTTCTGCGGGTGGGTGGCTGTCCAGATTGTCATCTCCAGAGCTCAGGGGCAGGCCCCACTTCTCCACCACCTGGGCCCTCCCCAGACTGCAAGCAGCTCTCATGTCCATGAACCAGAGCCTAGAAAGCAGACCTCCCTTTCAATGCTGGTACCATCTTCATCCCTAGCAAGGCAAATTAGTAAAACTCCGTTTAGAGGCGTCTGGTGGGACGCTTTGGGGCTAACACCCTGCTCTTCCTGGAATCTCAGGTTTAGAAGGGAAGGGGCCTCAGAGACCATCTAGTTCTACCACACCTGAACAAGAATACCTTCGATAGCCCCTGCTTGTAGACTTCCAGTGATGGGGAACTCAGCGCCTTCCAAGGCAGGTCATGTCACTGTTGAGCAGCTCTAATTATTTTGGAAGCTTTTCTTCTTCTCTTCAGGCTTAAACCTCCCTAGCTCCTTCAACAGTCTTTATGTGCCATGATCTTTGGCCTCTTCCCTGAGCAGTCTGAAGTCTGAGGTTCTACAGGGCCCTAGGATTACTAGGCACACACTCCCAACAGTAGTGAGGATGGCCATCAGCCATCACTGATAATGAAGTGGCCCAGCACTTCGTCTTTAATGCATAAAGACGCTGGATGAAGACACTGGTGGCTTATAACAAAATTGGTGGATAACACTAAGCTAGGAGGGATGGCTTTCAAATACAAGATCATGGATTTCAAGTTAGAAGGGACCTTGGAGGCTATCAAGTCCAACCCCTTCCATTTTACAGATAAGGAAACTGAGGCTGAGCTAGGTTAAGCCCAGAGTCACACTTCTAGTAAGTGTCTAAGGCAGGATTTGAACTCGGGCCTTCCTGACACCAAGCCCAGCAACCCACTCAGTGTGCTATCCAGGCTGAATGACAGGTTTGAGTTCCCAAAAGATCTTGACAGCCTGGAACTTTGGGCCAATCTAGTAAGATGAAATTTAATAAGGATAAAAGTAAAGTCCTACCCTTGGGTTCAAAAAATCAATGGCACAAATACAAGATGGTTCCCATGAAAAAGAGCCTAGGGTCCAAACTCAACATGAATCAGCTGTGTGACGTGGCAAGTCACGCCTTTGGCCCCTTTGAGAGAGAAAGGAAGGGGCCTGTTGCACCGCTCTGTCTTAGCCAGACCACAACAAACAGAAGTGCTATTTTCAATAGTACTGGGAGCCATATTTTTTAGGTAGGGTATCAACGGGACCAGAAGGACAGGTACTGGCATATGAGAGGGAAGTGGACAAGATCAGGGGTTCTCAACCTGGGCTCCATGAATGTGTTTTTAAAAATGTTTTCATACCTATACTTCAATAGAATTGGTTTCCTTCGCAATCCTATGTACTGCGTTTTATGCACGCATTTAAAAATGCGATTCTGCACTACTGATGGTGGTTGTTCAGCCATTTCAGTCCTGTCTGACTCTTTGTGACCCCATTCTGGGATTTCTTGGCAAAGACACTGGAGTGGTTGGCCACTTCCTTCTTCAGCTCATTTTACAGATGAGGAAACTGAGGCAAACAGGGCAAAGGGACTTGCCTAGAATAATGCAGCTAGTACACATCTGAGGCCAGATTTGAACTCGGGAAGATGAGCCTTCCTGACTCCTGGCCTGAGTCTCCATCCACTGGACGTCACTATTGATTAAAGACATGCAAATTTAAACTCTGAGGTACCATTTCATATCTATCAGATTGGTTAACATAACAAAAAAGGAAAATGGCAAATGCTGGAGGAAAATGTGGAAAAATAGGGATGCCAGTGCACTGTTGGTAGAGTTGTGAACTGATCCAACATTCCCTTTTTTCATTTTTTCTTTCAGTTACATGTAAAACAATTTTTAATATTCACTTTTTAAAATTTTGAATTCCAAATTCTCCCCCTCCCTCCCTTTCCTTTCCCTTCCTTGAGAAGGCAACTAATTTGACATAGATTATACATGTGCAGTCATGCAAAATAGATGTCTGTATTAGCCATGTTACAAAAGAAAATACAAACAAAACAAGAAAAATAAAGTAAAAAAAAAGTTTTCTTCTGATCCAACCATTTTGGAGAGTAATTTGGAACTATGCCCAAAGAGTTATAAAACTGTGCATACCCTTTGACCTCTACTAGGTTTGTATCTCAAAGAGATCAAAGAAAAAGGAAAAAGACCCATATGTACAAAAATATTTACGGCAGCTCTTTCTGTGGTGGCAAAGAATTAGAGATTGAGAGGATGCCCATCTACTGGGGAATGGCTGAACAAGTTGTGGTATATGAATGTAACAGAATACTATTATGCTATAAGAAATGGTGAGCAGGCAGACTTCAGAAATACTTGGAAAGACTTGTATGAACTGATGCAAAGTGAAGCAGAACCAGGAGAACACTGTACATGGTAACAAAAGGCAAACAGAGGTTAGGGGATGTGCCCTGGGTCACAGAGATGGTAAGCATCTGAAGCCACATTTGAACTCAGAGCTTCCTGACTCCAAGTCTTGGGTTCCATCCACTGCACAACCTATTTAGGCCGCCTCAGATTTACGCTTGATGTCAGGAACAACTTCCTTACGGTGAGAAGCGTCCCAGTGTGGAATGGGCCACTCTGAGAAGCAGTGGGCACTCCTTCCCTTGGGCCACCCCTTTTCAGCCACACTGAGGAGGACATTCCAGATATTAGGAGAACCCCCGTTTTTCAGGGCAAAGGCCCAGCAAGAGTAAGCTGTGCCTGGGCGTGGCATAACAACAATCCTTTGCGCTCATGCTCGGGATGATCTCAGCCTCTGACGAAAGCACAAACAAGTGCGTTGCTTTGGCCAGCACCAGGTGTTCTCTGAGCTCGGGCAAGCCCCTGCTGTCCCCACGTTCTGGTCACGAAGCCCTGCTACGAATCAAACGTCTCATTGTTGTTACCCTCATTGTCACGGCGACGGCTCATTGGGCAGCCACTGGTTTAATTACTGAGCGCTTCCCACACTGCCTCGGGTCCCTCCACTGGGACGGGGCCCCCCTCCTCACTTACAAGCCCATCTTGTTTGATTCCTGACTCTCCTGCCTGTGGCCTGCGCTGTCCGGCTCTGGCCATCCACAGGTCAGAGTCTGGTTTGGTCCCTATCCCCTGAGATCCTGGGACTGTGCGAAAGGAGATACTAGGCCTGTAAAGTACTTGGCAAACCTTAAATCAATACATAAATGGCAACTCTTTCCATGTTTCCATTTTTCTCTGTATGGTTCATGCAGACAGGCTGGACTCAGTTTCCTCCTCAAGACAATGAAAAAGCTGGGCCAGATGGTCTCTAAGGAGCCTCTCAGCCCTGGTTGAGGTGCCCAGTGACTGTCCCTAGGTCTCTGTCCTAACCCAGACCAGAGGGGCAAGGCCTTTGGGGCACCAAAGGAGGAAAGCCCTCTGCCAACATTCACCTCTGGGCTTTAAAATTCTGCTGGGCCGTGTGGCCAAAAAGCCATCTCTGCAGCCTCTGGGGTCCTCAGGCTGAGAGAGAGCATCCCACATATGCCCCTTGCTAGAACTGCCTCCAAAACTCATCAAGTTCCCCACCCCACCCTCCTCTCTCCTCTTTGCCTTTACTCGAGGCATCCTTCAAGCCAAACCCAACCCCCCTTCCCCAGCCCGCCCTCCCTTCAAGACTCAGCCTGGATGCCAACATCATGGAGGAATCAATTACGAACGTGATAGTGAGCACCTAGATGCCAGGCGCTGTGCTGGGCATGGAGGTCACGGGAGCTTAGATTTAAAGTCACCCAGTCCTCATTTGCAGATGAGGAAACCAGGGTGGGTAAGTGACTTGCCAAGATCATACAGGTATAGTAAGTGTCAGAGATGGGATTTGAACCCAGACTCCACATCTGGCTGGCACCCCAATGTCAGACATAATGGCCATCCCCCTCCCAAAGCCACCCTCTGCCCACCCTCTTTTCTCCTCCTTCCCAGAGTTAGTCTGGGACACACAGAGCAAGGAAGGGTTGGAGGGCCCCGCCCAGCGAGGTCAGTGTCTGTTTACAAGAGCACAAAGCCCCAGTCATAATCCCCCGGTGGGCTGGGAAGTGACCAGCCCCCTCACGGCCCACAAACCCAGACATCAAATAAATAGAGTCAAAGCTTCGCTTTTCATCTGCGGGCAGACAAGGGCGGGCCCCACCTCTGCGAGTTCCCACTGGCGGAGCTCAAAGGGATGCTGGGTGTGGCAGATTCCTGGCGTGGTGGCTGGTAAAGGGAGGTGAGGAACATGGGATTCAAAGCAGCCCATCTGGCCCAACCCCCCATTCTGCAGAGAGGGAAACTGAGGCCACAATAACAAGTAGCCACCACAGGTTTGATCCAGGCGTCCCAGCTCCTGGTCAAGGGTTCTCCCCCCTGCACCACGGAGCCTCTCACTTTAGCTTCCAATTCTACACTGGTGGTCAAGAGGACAGTGCAGAGAAGGGGGAGGGGAAAGCAATGAGTCAGAGGGCTACAAATCCAGAGCTGGAAGGGAAAACTGAGGCCACCCCAGGGAGGTGACTTGTCCAAGGCCACAGGTAGAAAGAGCAGGGATTCACCACCCCCTCGCCCACGGCAGCACTCTTGAGAACAGGCAGAGGGCCTGGCTGGCCTCCCCATGGGGCCTGGAACCCACGATCCCCAGCCCGCAGCCGCTGTAGCTTATACAAAGGCATCTTTGATCCCACTGCCTTGGGATGGCCTCATTTGGAGGGATTCCTCCTCCCTGCTTCCTGAAACGTGGCCCTGCCCTCTTACTCAGATGCCCCTTTCTGTCTGCCCGCCGGCCCGCCAGCCAGCAGCCTCGCTCCCTCCCCTCCCACTGGCAGGCTCCTTTCTCTCCATCTCCCCACCACCCAAGGGGTCACCAGCTTGCATACTCCAGGTGGCAATGCCCAGCCATTCAGAGGCTCCTGAGCACTCGGGGCAGAGAAGAAGATCTGGCTTCCTGGGCATCAGGAATGCAAGGAGCAAGTCTTTCCCTGGACTATGGAGCCCGGGCCTTCCTTCTCTCCTCACCCAGGGGTAAGCCGGGCACAGACAGGCATCTCTGATGCCAGGCTTTTGTTTCTGACCAGCACTATGATTTTATCAGTGTAGAAATAGCTAGTGAGGGAGGTCCTTTCCTAATGTACATCATCCCCTGATGTGCAATTTAGTCTTAGGGAGAGACCTCTGCCAGGAAAAGATAATGATAATAATAGGTAGGGACCAGGCCTGTGATTTTACTGGGACAGGGCACTGTCTGGGGGGGAAACCCTTCTATTAATGCAAATCAGCATCTTCTCTGCAACTTACAAAAGCAAGGGGTGCCCGGGAGGCGAGGTCATGTGTCCAGAGTCACCTTGATGGTTCGTGTGAGAAACGGGTCTTCTTTCTCACTCACCTCTAACCCGCTGATTTGACTGATGAAAAACCAGACCCTGTGAGTAGGTGCCTTCCCTGTGGTGTCACGGAGCCGGCCTCAGAGATCTCAGATGCCAGCAAAGGAGGGCTTCTTCACTTCTCTGTGTCCTGGGGAAGCTCAGGGACCCCATCTCAAAATCGTGTTTTCCAATCATCGAATAAAACCCTTATGATTGCCGAGGAAACCGATCACGGTGAAACAATTATCAAAACAGTTTGGGGGTTTTTTAAGTTAAGAACTCTTGATATACTCCGATCCTCTCATTTCACAGATGAGAAAACTGAATCAAAGGGACGGAAGTGATTTATCCAAGGTCACACAGCTACTAAGCATCAGAGCTAGAATTTGAACTCAGATTCTCTGACCCCAGAGCCAGGGCTTTGTCCACTCAAGACCTCGGCTTACCCTCCCTGCTCCAGCTCTGGCCTGCCTGCCTGATGGACTGACATTCCTAGGGGATCTCAGCTCCTATTAAGTGCTAATGAGCGCCTTGGTCCAGCTGCCAAAGGGGCAGGATAGTGAACAACTGTTCCATGAGCACAGAGCAGGAGGCAGAGATGGATGGCCCCGAGGGATGACAGGAAAGGCCATAGGTGGGCTGGGCCAGGAGCAGGGAGCCATCTAAGGATGGGCAGGGCCAGAAAGGTCAGCCCCAAAGGAGAGCTGGAAGTGCCCTCGGATGCTGGGAGGCCAACAGCTCCGTTTTTTACAGGTGGAATCTGAGGTGAAGGTCACACAGCAAACAAGAATGAGGCCAGGAGCTCAAAGCAAAGTGGTGCAGACAATAATTAGATGCTCTGGTCTGGTTACAGATGAACAGTTTGAGGAAAATCCAGGGTTAGTCCTGCACTCATTGGGGCGTCTGTCCATCTGTCTGTCTGTCTCTGCCCATGTTTATATCTGTGTGTGCATGTCTGGGACATGTTTGTCTCAGTGCATTTGAGAGTGAGTGAGTGTGTGTGTGTGTGTGTGTGTGTGTGTGTGTGTGTGTGTGTCTAAGCATCTGTGGATGTGGAGGGGGTGTCTCAGTGCCTTTTTTCCAGCTGTCTGTGTTCCTAAGCTTTAATAAGTCCAATTCACCACTCAGGCAAAAAATCGATCACACAAAGGAACAGCCTTCCCCGGGATCAGGGCTCAGCTGATCGGCGCTGCTCATCCTTGTTTCTGTTTACAGCTTGATTGGAGTGATCATTAAATCAGCTGCCCTGGGGATTTCGGAGCAGGCCCCGTGCCCGGAGCCCCAGCCTGGCCGGGACCCCCTGGCCCTGCTACCTCTCAGCCATCCCTTCCTCAGGGGGGGAGAGGGTGTCACAGAAGTCAGTGACCTTCCCAGGGCCCTTCTAAGACAGACACCACAGCTCACGGGCCTCCCTCCTGAGCTGGCCTGAAGCCCACCAAGGGAGGCTGCAAAAAGCCATCTTCCTCTAACCTTTTGTCTGGGCCTCCTTCCTTTGTCCCATCACTCGTGCTCTACCTGGTACTTCTGACGTTGGTGTGAATGTCACAGGACCGACGCCCTCCCCCAGCCAGGCCAACGGGAGCCTGGATGGCCAGCCCTTGTCTCTTTCTGGCCCTGTGTCCCTAGCTCCAAGCACAGCGGGACCACGCTGCTCGTTGGCCACCAGAACCCTTCAGGTCGGGCTGCCCCTCAGTTCAGGTTGGTCCAGGCTTCTCCAGACATCACCAATGGGGCAGAGTGCCCCTGGCCTCCACACTAATGGGGGTGCTTGTGGCCAAAGAAGCTCGAGGCCCCGCTCTGCCACCCTTCACCCTCCCTTCACCCTCAATCTCCCCCTCCAAGCTCTGATACCCCTTCCTTCTATGGACAGGAATAACAACGATGCTAAGCCACATTTATGCAGCGTTCAAAGGTTTATCAAGTGTTTTCCAGCCTGTGTGAATCCATCTGGAAAGTGGGCCTGGGGTCGAAAGAGAAAACCCCAGCACTGCCCCCCTCCCTCCAGCCAGAGCCTGGGCCGCATGAAAGCCCCCCCCCGGCTGGCCAGGCAGTGGGGGGGCAGGTGGTTACAAAGCATGTTGGCATCTCTAAGCTACAAATAATTCAAGCAATAAACAGCCCCGCGGGTTGCTTTTGGCTTGGTGCCTCCTCGGCAGGACGGGGGAGGAAGCAAGCTGCCTTGGCGTGGGACAGGCTCTGTGTCTCAGGGAACAATGCTCTCTCCCCTTTCTTTCCCTCTCACATACCCACATATCCACAGACCCACACACCAGGGTGGGGGATGGGAGGAGAAGAGAGTAGCCTGAATTCAAGTGTTGGGGAGATCGGGGTACAATGGGGAAAGAAAGGCACTACCAGAGGATGACAAGCAGTGTGGTGGTTTGGGGGGAGGGTTACCCCGCCATGGAGATGGGCTGGGAAGAAGGCCCAGCTGGTGAATGCTCCTGGCTTCCAGCCGGCCAGGAGCGGCCTCCCTTGGCCACCAGCTATTCCTTCCGGCTATTTAACTCAGCCCCGCCCCCCCACTTGGCCGCTTCCCATCTCTGTCCCTGCCGCCAAGTCTCTGATGTACACCGAGGTTCGCCCGCTAACCGAGGCCCACCTGATCAACGGTAATGTCTTCCATTTTCCTGGCGTTTTCCAACGGACAAAGAATGCGATCTCCCTTTCTCCCCTCATCTGCCTCTTGTGACCCCAGGCTCGATTTGAGGCTCACTTCAGGCACCATCTCGTACAAGAGGCCTTTCTCGACATCTCTCACCCAGTTGCTAATCCCACCTCCCCTCCACACTGCTCTATCCTTATTGTATTCAAGCTGTCTCCTCTCGGCAGAATGGAAGCTCCTGAGGGCAGGGCTGTCTCCTTTTTGTCTTAATATTCCCACTGCCCAAGCACAGTGCCCGGCACATACTGGTCGTTGAATAAATGGACGCTGGGCATAGCTGAAAAGGTCCAGTAACCAAGACCCATCTAGCGCCATAACCCAAGCCCATATGGACATAGGCAATCTCAGAAACATAAGTCTAGAGGTAGAAGGAACCTTAGAGGTTAATCTGGTCCCGCCTAATTTTAGAGACAAACAAACGTATTCATTTCTTCTGGGCAGCTAGGCGGCAGAATAGCTACAGAGGTGGGTCTGAGGTCAAGAAGATCTGAGTTCAAATGAAGCCTCAGACACTAACTATATGACCCTGGGCAAGTCACTTAACCTTTGTTTGCCTCAGTTTCCTCCTCTGTAAAATAGAGATAATGATAGGACCTAGCTCCCAGGGTGGTTGAGAGTATCAATGAGATGGTAAGTGCTTAGCACGCTACCTGGCAAACAGTAAGTGCTATATAAATGTTAGAGGTGACTAGCCAATAACAAGGTCTCTACTCAAGCTATGCCCCATGCCCCCTCTGCCTACCACCTCTTCTTTCTTTTGGAATCTGCCAGATCATGAACTCCCATCCCCCATGGGATGCCTCCCTGTCTGTGGCATCAGAGGAAGGAAACCGATCACATCCACTTGGCAGGGATTCCACTCATCTGTATAAGACACCTGGTCCCCACCAGCATCCCTGACGCCGCCCAGGTGCCTGGCGTGGCTACGGATGTCAGGATGGATGGGCCAGGTCATGGGGCAGCCTGGTAGAGGCCCATCCCAGGCTCTGATGGCAACAACTGACTTTCCCTTCCCTGTCTTTGGGGCTGGCTCTCACCTCACACACCCACTAGGTGTGTGGCCCTGAGCAAATTCCTCTACCTTTCTGGGGCTCAGTTTCCTCATCTGTCAAATGGGGAGGTCAGTCTCAATGAGATCCCATCCCATCAACGATGATCCTATATCATCCTTCCCCACGCCCTGTTGGAGTTGGCGGCAGGCACTAGATTAATGGCCTTTTCTCATTGGCCCCTGCTCCCTACTTCACCTTTCCAGCCTCACAAGGCCTGGAACACAGTAGGCTCTTAATAAATGCCTGTTGCCCCTGCTTGACCTGGAACTCCCCTGGGGACACATACAAGCCTATGCCCATTCCTAAAGCCACTCTAATTACCACTCTACAACCAAAGGCAAAGGACTCTGGGGAAAGCCTGCTTCAGTACAATATTCCAGAATCGTAACAGCCATTCCCCCAGGGGTCTCGGAGACCACCTGTGTCAACCCATGCACAAAAGTCCCTCCACAACGTCACTGGCAACTGCCTCAGCCTTCACCCCTCCAACTAAGAGCTTCAATAAAGTACTGTAAGAGAAGATAAGCCCACAAGAACCATCAGCCGCTCTGGACAGGCCCAATGACACCCACCAGAGTGAGAATCAGACAGAGACCTACAAAAGCACACTCTGTCTGGAGCCAACCTTCCAACCCACGCTCATACCACCTCCAAAGACAGCCTCCAGACAGTCTTTATAGAAAGAGAGGAAGACGAATAATTAGAGATATTCATTGTCCATGATCAGCTGCATCAAGAGAATAACAATGATAATTCTAACAAAATCAGTTTACATGAATGATAAAATTCATCTAGGTTTTAAAAAAAATCTCGAGGGAAATAACTATTTGATGCTGGTAAAAGAATAAAAAAGCTGATCAAAGGAACAGATTAAGTAAATAAGGCCAAGAAGCAATTAAACAAAAGTAGCTCTAGTTTTCAATATACCTCCCAAACTCAAATCACTGGGGTAAGGACTCTCTATTAGATAATTACCACTGGGAAAACTAGAAAGCAATTTGGCATAAAAATAGATTTAGCTTAGCATCTTACACCATACACCATGAAAAGCACCAAACGGAAACTCAACCTAAAGAAAAAAGATCAAATAATAAATAAATGAGAGAAAAATAGAAGGAAGGAGTTTCCACAACTACAGTTATGGAAAGAATGCTTAAATAAATACAGTGATGGAGGTGATGATAAAAACAAGAGGGCCAATTTCAATCACCCAAAATTAAAAAGCTTTGGCATGAACAAAATCAGTGCAGCTAAGGATGAAATCTTAACAGAAAGGACAGACTGTATCGGGGAGTGCTGAGATGCTGGGAACAAAACCAATCTCTTCTTTAGAAAATTGAGGTTGTGATCCAGTTACGGCATCAGCTCAAAGGAGAGCAGGGACGATCTTTCCTGCAGTCTGTAAAAGTATGAGACGTTGCCTGTGGGAAAAGCCGAGAACGTATCAGAGTTCACACCAACCACATTGGGTCACTGAAGCATGAGCATCAAAATATGCCAACCAAGACAAGGCTAAAGACACCATTTAACCCCAAGAAGAGTAAGAAGAGAACGTGGTCCCTCTTTTCAAATTCCTACAGGGCCTTCCCATAGACAACGGACAAGACTTCTGCTTAACCTCGTGGGCAGAAATAGGAAAGTGGGTAGAAGTTACTGACTGGTCACTTCAATATGAGGGAAAACTTGCTTACCAAGAGGGACACCCAAGAGCCCCCAGCACTGAGTGTCCAAACAAATAACTACTTGTCAAAGACAATGTGGAGAAGGTTCACACTCTGGACGATGGCCAGACTAGCTTGCTGCTGGGGTCTCTTCTATGATTTTGGTTGTGCAGGTTTGGAAACTGAAGGACCTGCCCAAGGTCAAACAGCCAGCAAGGAGCAAAGTGTGGGCTCTGCCCCAGGCCTCTGAGTGCAAATTCAGGGCTCTTTCAGCTCCCCGTGGATGCTCCGTTCCATGTGGACTCATGGGTCCCAGATGTAGCGGTGAAAGACCTCAGAGGTCATCAAGGCCAACCCCCTCACTTTACAGCTAAGGAAACCAAGGCCCACAGAGTGAAGTGACTTTTCCTAGACACAGCTATGATTCCTTGAGGCAGGATTTGAACTCAGTCCTTCCAGATTCCAGGTCTAACTTTCTGTCCACTGTGCCACCTAGCTTCCACCTGGAAAGCCAGTGGAATAGTGGTCTCATAAAAATGGCTATTCTCACCAGCAAAACAACCTGCCTAAGCAGCTAGGTGGTGCAGTGGATAGAGCATCAGATCTGGAGTCAGGAAGACTTGAGTTCAAATCCAGCCTCAAATATTTACTAGCTGTGTGACCCTGGAGAAGTCACTTAACTTTGGTTTGTTTCAGTTGCCTCAACTTTAAAAAGGGGGATCATGACAGCACCCACTTCAGAGGGTTGTTGTGAGGATCAAATAAGATAATGTTTGTAAAGTACTTAGCACATAGTAGGTGTTTCCTCCTTTCCATCCATGTCTGCCCATCCTCTGTACGGCTCCAGACCGTCACAGACTCTCCTCCCATTAAGTTCCACTTGATTCAATCCAGCCCATCGTTCCAACCTGCCAAGATCTCTTTGGACCTGACTCTATTACTGAATGGGTCCCTTTCAATAGAGACATCTCTATTTTAGAGACGTTTCCACTCCAAGTATTCATTTGGACCAGGGGTGGGAAACCTGCAGCCTTGAGGCCACCTGGGGTCCTCTAGGTCCTCAAGTGCGGCCCTTGGACTGAACCCAAACTTCACAGAACAAATCCCCTTAATGAAAGGATTTGGTCTGTAAAACTTGGCCCCAGTCCAAAGGCCATCCCCAGGACCTAGAGGGCCAGTTTTAGACTACTTCACAGTCCAACAGACCAATTCTGGGCTATCTGTGCCTGACCTGTGCTAGAACCTTGCAAACTTGTACCGGTCTGATCAGCCACAATCAGACACGCTGACCCTTAACTCCAAAATAGTGACGTCATTTTGGTCCCCTTCAAGAATGAAGGGTAACAAATAAACAGCCTCAAAGGAACTTCCCCTCCCAGCATCGTCTCATCTGCAGCTTGAATAAGTCTGCCTCTACGTCCTTAGCTAAGTCACTTAACAAAAATACCAGACCTCTAAAGTCCCTCCCAACTCAAGAAGTGGAAGACGCTAAGATTAGAATTAGCCAGGGAACGCACAGGAGACAGTCAGGGAATGCAGGTGGTTCTTTCCCCAGCCGCATGGAGGCTTTTCCCCCAGCTATGTTAGCAGTTTGCTCTTCCACAGCCCACAGCCCTAACTATGATGTCCTCCCACAAACACCCATACTGACAGACCAAACTGTGGGCACTGCTAACGCCTAAATATAATCCAAGCCTCAACTTCTATGCTCAGTCTGGCAGCTGGCATCACACAGCATGAGGAGGCAGAACCAGGAAAGCAATCCACGGGATGACCCAGCAGCGGAAACGATGAAGTGGACCTCTATGTAACTGTAATGACCAGTCTGGGACCCGGAGAGGGGAGGAGGAAACAAGAGCCTCCCTCCTCTTGTAGAGAGGTGGGGATCCAGGGATGAGAAAGGCTGCATGCGTCCAGCGTGGCTGCCATGTCCTCTGCTTCGCTCATCTTTTTTTCCTGGAACATCCCTCCACCACTTTCCCCACTGGCAACCTCCTCCATCTCGTGGAGGGACCCAGGCCGGCCAGCCTCCATTCGCTTCCCAGCTTTCTCCCTCACTTACTAGACTTCACAACTATGGCTCTGCTTTTATCTCATCAGGAAACTTCCCACACTACCTGGGGCCTCCTCGCCCAGGAATATGCAGACATCTCTGC